TGAATTATCTTATATTTACATTTTAAAACAATTTGTATTAGCTCATAACATGCAAATAAAAGTACGTTTATTATGATAAAGTTAGATATCTCGATAAGTCGGATACCTCGTTAAGTCGGACACAGGAGTCCGCCCCGACGAGTCCGACTTATCGAGTTTGCCTATGTATTACAATCGTGGCTAGTATATCAAATTCTTCTTAATCATGACAAAATTTGAACAAACACACATAATTTGACTCGCATACCAACATACTTTATACACGTAAGTCTGCTCATGGAAAATGTCCCAAAAGCTCTAGGCAGTTTTAGTGAGAATAACGAGCATATTTTTAAAAATAATTAGTGTTGGTTAAGTCGACGTATTTCCCACAAAAGTCTGTACGTTGAGTTATCGTCAATTGCATTCAAGTACGTCAACAATAACAATTTTGATATGCCAATAAAAAACCTGCTGGCTAAAAGATCATGTTTGATTAGATTAAGCAAATTTTCGTAATAATAATTTGTTTTCACACACTTATAACATTGACAATATTATATTAAGATAATAAGGCGGCGGTTTTTAGTTTTGCAAAATTTAAAGTTGCGTTGGGACAGCAAAATACGTTGTTATTATTTTTAGATGAGCGTTTTACGCAATATTTTCTTAGATTAGTCGACCGCCGACAGGAATAAAAGATCTCGAAATGACGGTATGTAAAATAATACCAATACGGATTCTAGTGCTTGTAATGTAATATTCACCGTCATGAATACACAAATGTTATGAAGTAACGTGATATATATCCAAACCGGGAAAGATCGCTGTTATGCATCAATAATTTTATTGTGGTAACACCGTACATTGTGATTTCAATACTTGGTAAACCAATTTAATGTGATACTTCACACGCAATGTAGATACTGGCTTACTGGCCCACTTGTCACCCGACTTTGGTAATTGGCTAGTGTGCTGGCAATTGGCTGCTCTAATCACCTGGTAAATGCGCATCTTTTTATTGACAGTGATGGTGGGAGGAAAGGAGGAACTTGAAGACGGGAGAGAACGTTCCAGAAAACATTTCAGGTACAAGTCTAATATACATATGTCATTGGACTGGTGATAACTTGATATTGATAATAATGGCAATTGATTGTGATTTTATTCCCCATTATTGTCTGTGACAATCAACCCTTTAATGGGGAGGCCGTCACACAGCAATCTACCATGCCCTGGTTTCAACCCATATCACATCTACAGACAATAAAGTTCAATACATCACATGATACTAATCAATATATTTCTACAATCTGGCGTTTCTCTCTCCTCGTTGCCTTCCGAACCAAAACCTCAAACGAAAAAAAAAAAAAGAGAAATAGCAAGGAAATTTTCTTTCTCTCCACTATTTCCTTCCTCTAAACACCGTCAACGTTCAGCTACGTTCCTTTACGCATTCTTCGATTAATTTCTCAAATGTACCATCAGCATAGTCCCATACCCCCAACTCAAACCTCGCGCCAGTCAGAACATTTCTCCTCTAGTGCTCGTTCAGACTATCCAGAAGGGTACTTTCCTAACGTACCGCATGGGTATCCACACTATTATGACTATCACCATCCGCACCATCGCTATATGCCATATCCACCTCCCGGTATTCCTATTCACCACCCTCAACAATCTCAACAACTTTCTCCTTCGATAGCCACAGGACACGACGAGGAGAAAGCGATATATACAAGGGGACAATTAACATCGGGGAATAGCAATACCACATCGAACGAATCAAAAGGAACGGCTGATAATGGGAAGAAAGAAGCCAAGGCAAAGAATACGTCATCTAACAGAACTTCCTCCTCTCGTCCTTCAACTTCTTCGGGACCGTCAGCTAAAAGATTCAGAATGGAAAAGTTTGGAACTTTTGATGCTCCTCGAGAGGATGAGGATAAAAGGTAAGAGATGACGTGGGATGGGAGGAGAGTAGGAAAAAAAATAGAATTGAATTGGAAAGTGGAGGAAACACTTGTAGGCATAGTGCATGACAATGAGAAAAGAAAAAGAAAAGAATGGGTACAGTTTATGTCCAAGTGTAAGTGTTTGAAGGGATTATTAATGACGAATATTGGATATCAAGTAAGATAAGGACAGGAGACGACGAAATCAGGGTCAGAAATGAAATGTGTTAGCTCCTGCAGCTTTGCGATAAAAATTGCAAGAGATTAGTCGATCTACACTGCAATTATCTTTCCCGATCCAAACGTTATTCCCGATTGCTTGTGAGGTGATCTGATATTTAATGTTGACTTTACGTCTTCTCATCCTTTGCTAAACAATGGATTCCCAAAGACACACGACACGTATTGCATTCTGGTACCCATTAACTCGTTCATGTAGCTTGACACACGCTTATTCCCGTTCATTCGCACGCTACTTTGGAATGCATGTATTTTTAGAACTCTGCTATAATAATGATATGAACGTAATAATCTTTATACTAATCTGTCAATGCTTTTCTCGTTTCAAAACTTTGTTCTATGCTTTTTCAGAATCTATCGATTAGTTGTTTGTCAGCAACCACTACGCGCGCGCATGTGTGGGTTCGGTGAGAAAGATCGGCGTCCGGTCGATCCTCCTCCGATAGTGCAACTAATCATTAATGACGAGGAGGGTAATTTAGATACAAGGTATATGTAGCGAGAGGGAAGGTGAGAAACAATGGATTGGGGAAGGAGCAACCTTAGCTTTATCAATATCCCGTGGTGCATCTTCCGCATTACTATTCTTAATATAAAGCAACAATATGAGTGAATTAATTATGGGGTCACGGGTCTTGGTCGTGAAAGGCGAGCATATTAGAACATTAGCAGTACCGTCTATCGTTAATTATCGTTCTCTTTTACTTACCTCGCGCACTTTTTTTTTTTACATGAATTGATCATATATCAAACTCTAATCTTTTAGCATGCTTCAGAACCCCTTCTTTGTTCTCCATGTAACCCTATGGTCAGAAGATGGCCGGGAAGAGCGAAATGTGATTAGCAGTCCACCAAAGACTACGCGTGTACTGATGGGTTCTCTTGTCTCTTCGCCGGCCATATTAAAGAATACTCAAAATGAACAGGGTTGCTATTTCTGCTTCCCAGACCTATCCATACGCACGGAGGGAAAGTATACGCTAAAATTCTCCTTGATGAAACTAGGAAAGTAAGTATTGTAAATGATGTGAGAGGGAGGCGTCGGGCGTGAGGAGAAAGGACGCGAAAACAGAAGATGTGAAATATGCATGTTTTGGCATGAATTGACGTATCTAAACGAATCAACGTTCTGGCACTTTTTGCACCAACTTAGTGAAGACCGATTGGTTAGTACTCGAGCTGTCATCCTTACCACCACATTCTCTTCGCCATTTACAGTCTATTCCGCAAAGAAGTTCCCGGGAATGACCGGTACGAGTATCCAATATTTTTTATATTAGTCTTGACGTTTCCTCTTTACAGATTCACTCTAAACATGCTACTTTCCATCAGAGTCGACGGAACTTTCGAAAGCATTCGCCAGACAAGGGTTAAAAATTCCTATCCGCAACGATGTGCGGCCTCGTAGGATAGAAGACTAAAAGGGGGGAATTTTTTGCTCTTACACGATTTTAACTTAACTTTGCTTTATATACTCGCGTTATTCTACGGACTAAAGATTGCTCGAATGTCAATTAATTGATAGTTATTTAACGTTTTATCGGTGTTTTTCTCTAATATGCTTATCACCTTACTTGTTCCATTAAATGTATTTCGCATTCATTCAATTGTCGAGAAATTCTAAGACGAACCGGAAAAAAAAAGAAAAAAACAAAAAAAAAAAAAGGAAAGAAAAGAAATAGCCATTATACTTTTAATCAATAATACATAAGTCAAGGATTGCAGCAAGCATACAGAGAATGACGATAAAATATCCTTCATGATAATATATAGTCTGAACGAATTCTGAATACAAAATTTTTAATAATAATAATAATAAATCGAAACAAACAGTTTTTGTGCAGAGTGAGAGAAACATGTCTTAGCAATACTGCGCCATTCATATGGGGTAAGTTTTCATCATGACACCAAATTACTGTCTACAGAGTGAATAGATAAGACAGTCAACTAGTAATCGCGAAGATCTGCACGTGTAGAATGCGAGTACTTTTGTTGGTAGCATTCCACTGATGCAGAGTTGCGTAAATTGTAATGTCTTTCGGAATTTCTTTAAGAAAAAAAACAAGCTTCATTTGTTGTCTTGCTGGTAGTAGTAGGAATCAATCCTTAATATAAGTTTTTACTTAACATTTTCGATAATAAAAAAAACAAATTACGTGAAACTTCTGTACAGAAAATAAAATAGTTGAGCGCAATCATTTCTAACATTATTTCTCTAGTTCATAAAAAATGATAATATAATAACCACATTCTTTGCTTGTCGATGCATCAGAATAAGTGACATGTATTAAAACCACAAGTTTTCGTTTAAAGAAAAAGGGGAGAGGAAATTTTTTACATGAAAATTTCTTTGCTTTTTTTTTGTTTGGAAGGGGAAAATGGGATGGAGTGGAAAATAAAAAAGAAAGAATATAACTCTTAATAGTATAATAGCAAACAAGTAAATAGTTCTAATTAATATAGTTGGACAGCCCAGAATGAGGTATACAAAACTTGGAGAAAACCGACCCAACATCACAACACGAATTTTACGCTCTCCAAATAAGGTGTGGAAACCTAATAACGATGTAAAAGTTATTTCAAACACCATATAAAGAAAATAAACCCTTTGCGATTTTATTTATAGACAACCATTAGAGGTGTTTGCAATTGGGGATAGGTTCTCACAGCACGTACATGCAGTCACGTTGCTGTTCTGTAGCGTTTTTGCTGGTATGTTCTACGTAAGTTTTTCGCTTGTCCTTGAACGGGGATTAAGAGAGTGTGATGGGACGAATGATGATGATGATGGGTGTGGTGGTGGAGGATGCGGAGGAGGGTGATGATGATGATGATGATGATGATGATGATGATGATGATGAGGAGGAGGAGGAGGAGGAGGAGATTGAATGGTGAAGGAATGGAAGAGACTGATTGATTGAGAGATTGAGAGATTGAGAGATTGAGAGGGGAAAGGAATATTAAGATAACATTATTGCTTTCTCGGCGAAGACTTTGGCCCATTGGTATTTGTAGTACGGCGTTTCTTTTGGCTCGGAGTTCCACTTCCGTCGTTATGACGTTTTTCTAAAAATGGAAATAAAAAAAAGAAACAGATATTAATCAACTACAAATACCAGCCATTATAAATCAGGGACACTCCACTACCCTGCCAACCCCTACACCAAACCCCTTCACCTGTATGTATCTACTCTCCACCGTTTGAATTGACTTACCTGATACTGCAGGTGATTTTACTGACTTATTCATTCCAGCATTTGTTCCCGATGGAGAGGGTGTTGGTTGTGGTGTTGGGGCTTGTACATCATTACCTGTTATTCCCATAGATATGTGTTCGTTCTTAATTTCGCCATCTTTTATATTCGGTGGTGATGGGTTTTGCAACATCGGTGACATTGCCGGTCTGTTGTTTGTGGTTCGCCATGATTCTAATAAAAAAAACAACATTAAAATTAATGAAGGACGATAGAAGAAAAGATCAGTACTGACATGTCTGTCATAGTTCACACTTACTTAATGGCTCCGATCCATGTCCTCCATACTTTTGTGCGAGTAGTAATGTAATGCTATATATCTGAGAACGATTAAATTACATGATTAATAATGCCATCGAGTCTCGTATGTTAATGTTGGATAACAAATTTACCTCTAAATATTCCGTGACTAACTTTGGTATCCCGTACGGTTCTATACTTTGTCCACTTTCTTTTCTAGAATCTTTAACTTCTCGTGTTTTTGGATCTCGTGGTAAATATTCTGTACATTTGTCTGTCTTAAACTCAAATGAAGACATTCTCGCAAAATGATTGAATTTTACGGCTAATGTGCCGCTATGAACAACCTAATAAATAAAACAAAAAAAAACGGGTTTAATCAGACCATCCCCACAAGTCAAGCAAAGGACATTAAAGGCAAAATTACAAAGAATAAGCTAATGACGGTTCTCTTACCTGTGATCCATCTTTATAATGATATGTAAATGTTGCTTTGTGAAATCGTAATGTCATATCTTGCATAAACGACCTCTCATCTGGATATCCAGGCGCTAATCGAACGCTTATTACGTCCGATACATAAAATCTACGAAAGAAATGTGCAAAATTATGGAATTTTAAATCTGTAAATTGATAAAAACGTAAACAAATGAGAAAATCGGTTAATAAAGTGAAAACAGCGAATTGCAAAACTAACAAATATGTGAAAAACGCAAAACCAAGACAAAATTTGCCATAGTTGAACGATGACTTTGTAAATTTTCACATATATCGTATCAATTTACCATACCATATGTATCATGTTTCTGTGTATGTGAATTTAAAAAAATATATCGTAATCTTGCATCTTCGGCAAAGAAATTTTTAATGGGATTTGTCCAATACTCTATTTCACTTTTATTTGCATTATTAGGAATATTCTATCATCGAAAAAAAAAAGTATCACAGTTAGTAATAACTCTTGTACGTATTCTCAAAACCGAATAGTCAGTTTGGACAAGTATCCTTCCGACTTTGCCTTTCTCATCGTTACTTTACAACTTTTCCACTCCCTTTTACTCCACTCCACTTTTACTCCACTCTATTCCACTCCACTCTATTCCACTCCACTCTACTCCACTCCACTCCCACCGTCTCTTATACCTCTGACAAATGTTCGGCCCAACCTAATACTTTCGTAAATGCATTCCAGAATTGCACTCTAAAAAACCAGCGACATAGTTAGTACTTGGAACAACAACACCAAAAACAAACACATGTTCCCTCGATCATAAAATGTAGCTACCAAAATATGCTTTAAAAGCAACCCTTTTCCTCTCACCAACCAAGGCTCACCAAATGACTATTTTTGACTTACTTTTGGCTGCTATGATTCGCAACAAACCTTTGCTGTAGGGCTCCAGGGATTCTTTGCCCGTTTCCTATTGCTTGCATCAAATTCGGTACATATTGTCCAGACTGTGGCACTATATACCTTGTTGGAGCGAACTGAAGGTGTGCTGTGTTGTTTTGAAGTATGTTCGCCGTTGTAGTTAGATTCGCCGGGTTATAGCTCATTTGTTATTAATATCTCAATCTCTTCAAGAATAGTAGGAAAGGTTCGGCAAGGAAGAAAGTAATATTCAAGGTTTATATGCGAGGTTTAATTTGGCGAGAAAATTGAGTCAACAGTGTTTCCTACCAAATTGCCGATTATGTTTAACCTCTTACGGATGTTTGGGGGGTCACAAGGCGATTCGCATTCCTTTATTCCTTTGGAACATAAAAAATCAATACTATTGGACATTATTTTGTGATTACGGCGTTTATGAATGTGTGTGAACTTATTGATGTCATTATTGTTCTCTGTTTCATTTTTAAGGGTTTTATGCTTTTCTTTAACGAGAGTGGAAAGAAAGGTCTAACTAAAAGCCTATTCCGTGGCCTGCACACTCGCTAGATGATGGGATGGCAAGTCTCGCTTGCCGTGAAACAGAGGAGAGATGAGCGTGGCTCGTGGCTAAACGTTGCGTGAAATGACCAAGGAATACGTGTATGCAAAGTTTGCAGCTTGGGTTTATGCTCTCTGGAAGCAATATTTATTCTTGGAGGCTATATGGTGATTGCTCTCTTTCGCCATTTGCGCTATCCCCCCGTCCTGTATTATTGTGTCAAAGGCGAAAGTTTGGTCTGAACTTTAAAAGATGCTTTGATTGGAGGAATTGAGGAATCTAGCGTCTAGTATCGAATATAAATATTTACAAATGGTTCGTTCTTTACGGCGAAGAAACTCTGACTACTTTACGAGACGTAAACATCTTTATTAATAATTGACACAACACCATTTTTTGATTCAATTCCTGATACCAGATCCTTGTTCGTTTTAATCGAAAAACGTTTATCCTTGTAAGAAATGTTTTCTCAAAGTTCCAGCTCTTGGCTTCTTAATGTACATGAAGAACATTACACTAGTTAAGGCAGATAGAGAATACCTAATATATAATTTGTAAGAGAAACACGGTCAAATAAAAAAGAAAAAAAGGGAGAACAACAATTGCATTGACTCACCATGTAACAGCATATTGTGTATGGGTATTTCGCAGCTCTACTGCAGGTATCTTTCCAACCGGATCCCCCTCGTCGATGAGTTTGTTGGCAACATACGGAGAGACATCTTTACATGGAAAGGTGAATACGGAAAGAACAGTCTAGTCGATCCCAAGTAACTCGTGCTGGAGAAACAGATGATCTTGGAATATAATAGTCACCTAAAGATTTCTCTATAAGAATAGGGTGAGCGTTCGTTCTCTCGGCCATTGTGTCAAGATCGGTCCAGAGCCACTCGTTTTCTTCTACTTTGTTCATCGGTACAAAAATACCTCTCTATCAAAGACGATTATATCATCAATGCATATCTTTGTACTAGTACTCGGTGCTGCAACGTGTCTAGTTTGTTTGAATATTCACCTTTTCGCCTTTTTTTACCACTCCATCTATCGTAACTGTTCCCTCCTGCTGTAATTAAATTCACGAAGATCAACCAACTTCTCTGACGATTAAACTCACGCAATCATTAAATATACATACTAGACTATTCGGTCTTGTTGACCGATCAGCTTTATCCCGAGATATCCATCCTCTGTTTACCAAAACTGATGATCTGATATATCAGCAAAATTTATATGTATACGTTTTCCAGTTGTCTCTCTTTAAGAAAGTACACGGATGAAATAGTAAACAATGAAATCACTTACCCATCATCCCGTTCAAGAGGAGTAATCACATTATAACCTTGTTGATTGAAGCGCGAACGAAGCCCAACAAGCATTTCTTTATCGTGTTGGAATCTACCAGTTACGTTGACGCGTCTGTAATAGAGGTCATCAACGAGTTTTCGACTAGCGTAGCATCCGTTTATATTAGTTATTCCAAACTGTATGAACTGATTTGTGGTAGGATCTTTCTTGAAACTATTTTACCTACTTAAACTTCTTGGGAAGTGTGATGGGAGGAGTAGATAACCGCTCCTCGTATAATTCTATTAATCCTACTTTCCAACGCAGTCTCTGTATCTGCCAAGTTCCCAGGCCAAATGTTACTATCGGAACAAGTGCCAAAAACAATGCTTTCAGACGATAAGATATCTTATTCTTCCGTGCAAGTGTGATTGGAATGTTATAATTTGTGGTTGTCGTCGCATAACATCGTGCTGCTTGATACCGTCCTTGGTAAAAACGATTATTAATGTTTGCAGTATCAGAGTTCAGCAGAGGTGAACTGTTTCTGCTGGTGCATCTCGATAACAAGCCGGTCGACGACTTGCGCGTCAGATGAATTAACGAATTTTTCATCATTGCGGTAATCGCATTTGCATCTGTTTGTATTAGTATGGTATTTGTGTTCCGGCTCCGTGATAATACACAAATTAGGAAATTAAAAATTTATCCGCATCGGTGTACGTATGTTGACGTAATTGAACATAATCCCATTATTGTTTCATTGTTATATTGTAACAAATTGGGAATGGTACGATACAACGTCAATGTCAGAAATGAAAATTTGTGTGAAACCCAACAGTGGAGAGTGTTATTATTTTTTTCTTATCGAAAGTAAGCCTTTTAAGAGAAGGAAAGAATTTCAATAACTCGGAAACTGTCTACTAAGATTAACTAGCACCGAAATCTTGTTCAAGGCTAAAAATAGTAATCGACAGCTCTGCAAACTATTGACATAATTATCAACCTCACATTGCTCGTATGTCAATAATTACTCATTATAATGAAAGAAGCAGACGGATCAATATTTGGTAGGCTAATAAATGATACATATCTAAAAACGTATATGCAAGCAACCCCTATTATTACATAGCAGCTGCATCTCAAAACCGTTGTGTATCCAGTACTTGCCCGATCTGGTTCTTCTTTCCGCATATATGTTGCATTATCAGAATAATACAGTAATAGTAATAGATGTTTAGCCATTAGCTATTATATAAGCATTCACACCAGTCATGATTTTTGCACGGTTTATGCGTCAAATGTAATAATTCATCACGTAGGTTGTTGAATGGCGATCTCGATATGATCTCGTCTTTGTTTGCGAATTGATTACATATTATCTAAAGCCTTCTGTCTCAAATAAATGCATGTAAGAGTTAGAGAAAGTCACAGATAAAACATAGAGCATCAAAAGCAAATTACCTCGATATGCAGTAATATTGTAATGAATGTTCAATCACTAGTAACTCATCAATTGATGAAGGCAACTTAACCTTCTTCGACAGACCTAGCCGCCAAACGTTTCTCACTTTCCAATCCAATGCATAAACATTATAATTGTAATATAACAAAAGATAGTTAGATGGTCCATGATTACAGTATTACAGGAAAATAACTAAAATATACAGTATACGTACAAGATAGTTTTCGTTCGCGTCTTTCCTCCGAAGACTTTTGACTTCACTTCATCGCTTTGCTTGTTAAAAATGTCTCACGAAAATGAAATTATTACAACAATGATAATGCTGTTTCAGTTTCTTTTGGGCCGAGCAGCCGAATGGTATATTGTAAACCATCCTCTTTTGAGAAATGCGCGATTGAAGTCCCAAAGCCGTTTATACGTTAACACTTTAATCAGTGAGGGGTTTATTAAAATACGTCGCGGTGAGAGAACCACAGATTATATAATTATTAATCGCTATTTTATATTACGCGTCACGCTACAAATAGATTATGTGCTATTTACATATTTATCAACAAATTAAGTAGAAAATTATTATATTCGACGCTAGTTTGCGGTCTTTATAAGCCACGCATGTGGTGACTGATAACGATATCGTTACTCTCTAATAGATCCATTAATTATATATAAAGAAAGCGATATGGAGGCAGCACCACGCACTTTCAAATGCACTGTGTTAGGAAATACGGTCTTGAGATTGTTTGAAAAGGTTACGTTAGTCACAGAAAGAAGATGAAGGATCTTGGAATATCGAAGATGAATTATGTGATACACATCGGACATCATGGATTGATTAAAATATAGTCACAATTAGCTAATACGCAACGAATAAACCAGTAAACGTAACTTTACTACGGATATCAATAAATTTGGGGTACTTGCGAGACAATTTAAATACTTTATACTTCCCGACATGATAAACGCTTCTCAATGTGATATCTGAATTACGGGAGCTTTTCATAATGGCCTAAGTGAACAGTCCAATGAATTTAATAGTCAGCAATAATACAGAATATCAATATAGAATTGGACTTACCGCGTGAATAATGCTTATCTTTATATATGCCTGATATTCCCATACGAGCCCACCTTTTTGCAAATTCAAAAATCAATTACTTCTTACTTTTGTCATTTGATACTTATTTGGGACTGATGTTCAATGTTCTGAGAATATGAGATCAATCTGTCAACGTCATAATGAATTCTATTCAAATGACTCTTTAATCAATTTATGTCCTAGTTCAAACTTTATTAAACAACGTCTATATAAAACTTTGTACCATACCTTAAAGAGCTTGGTGATAGGATCAATATTTACGTGACTGGTAAGGGGTGGTACATAAAAATTGATTATCTGTCTTTCCAGATACAGATGACAGTGATTCATTGATGGTATAAGCTGCATGAAGTTTACACAGAACATTACCATTATTGTAATATGTAAGTACAATTTTTTTTGCTCTCACTTAGAAGGGTGTTTATTTACACGGCATTTACTTAATTTTAATATAAATAATGGCATTTTTATGGGTCCACAAACCATCTACATTAGAAAGGCCACACCTGAACTTTTTTGTGCACTCATGCTTGCAGTGCTTTATGGTATATATTAATATCATTGATAAGCTATAAATTTGGGGAAATTGGGTTTTAAAACATGTGTTGATGGTATAGGTACTTAAGCACAGCTGACAAGTATATGTGTCAGATCAAGTCCACATGCTAGAGATTAGAAAAAGTTGGTATTATTATTATTAGCAGATGCCACCACCAAATACAAAATAAAAATTTTAAATAATTTCCGAAATTTCTTCTTAACATAATCAAAGATAATAATAATAATGCAAAGTGCAAAAAGTGGCTACCAAAATTTCTTGCCATCTTTGGTGGCCAAAGTTTCTAACTTACAATTGTCGCGGTACTGTCCAGTTGAGCTTTCTGCCTTGTCTGATGTCTCGCGTCTTGATTCTGCAGTCTCTATGCATATGCCCGTTGTTTCCGCAGTAGTGGCATTTTGGCCCATTGTTTCTGTTGTTGGGTAGCGAAGTTTTTAATTCTGCTAGTTGCACTTCCAGCAATGCTATTTTCTCTAAGAGCGCATCATTGACTTCAGCACTGTGTGATGGTTGAACGCTGGCTCTCATGGCATAGAAACAATTATTTGCCAGTTTAATAGCCTGAGCCATGGTTTCTGGTGCCTGTTGCAATACTGGAGTCCTTAGCATTGGTAATAGGCCATGTACGAATTGATTGACTCTCGTCCATTCAGGAATAAGTGCTGGGTCACCACATTCTAACCACATTTCTTGGAGTGCGTTTAGGTAATCGTTGACTGACTCTGTTTTCATCTGCATCCTCATGTAGTAGTAGGCTTGCTGTGACGCTTGAGCACGATTACCATTCGTAGCATACCTGGCTAAGAATAATTCCTTAAACCCATCAACTCCTTGGTTTGCTGCCCATGTGGTTGGTTTGTTGGCAAGAGTAATGAACCACATTTTAGCTGGTCCTAAGTTTAAAGCTGCTATTCCCATTTTTCTATCATGAGCGCTGTTGGGAATGTTATTGGCAATGAACGCCAATTCGAGTTCAGCAATCCATTCATGAGAATTGGTGCCATCAAAAGTGGGGTATGATGCTTGACTCATTTCTTCTTCTTGCCGTTGTTGTTGAGGTGGTTGAAACGGAGGCGGTGGTAGTGGCGGAGTTACTGGAGGTATCTGTTGAAGTTGTCGAGGCAATAGTTACGGGAGAGCGGATAACTACTGTCTCGGTTTGGGATCTAGCTGCGCCGTCGTAGGAGTGTGGCTCACCTCAGCGATAGCTAAATCGTAACAAACAGTTAGTGACCTGTTTTCAGTGCTGACGTATTCGTATACGGATCGCACACACTAATCCTAGATAATTAATTATTCTCGAGAACTAAAACTACTCTCTACCGGTGGATTAATTCGGTAGTCTGTAGGTCGGGGGCTTTAATAAAAAATTAACGCGTTGAGAAACAATAATTAACTATCTTAATGCTGTAATGCCACTCGATCGATCACGGGACAAGTATTATGACCGATCTTGCCGTTATACGGATTAATGCTTTAAGAATATAACGGAATATTCAGGGAAAGAATTATCGTATCAGAGTAAATGGATACTCGTTTATTAATAAGAAATAAAGGAAATTAAACGTCTTCGATATAAAAGAATTTAATATTTACTTGAACTAAAGGGCGGACACACCGATGCTAAACGAAATCTAAGCTGCTTATATACTTTATCGTCTACTAATTGATCTATTTTTAGCATCGATCTAATTTCTAATTGCTAATCTACCATACTGCGTTAGCAGCATTTGCTGCCTGCTGTGTTGCTGCCCGTGAGACTATTTGTATCACCATTCGGTACTTGTCTTACATTCTAATCAACTGTGTGTACCGTTGTTGGTGACACCTATCGTTCCGCAGCAAATTCAGAGAGGAATAACGTCATCGTCAGCTTCCGATCCTCACAACGGCTCCTTATATACATTTTGCTGTTACTAGATTTTCTACGCCACAGAGCACGTATTTTCTATCTTTCCCACGCTGTCACCAAAATCGCGTTACTCGCGTTATTTTCTATTCTTAGCTACATTCTTGTGTTCAAAACTGTCATCAAAATCGCGTTACTCGCGTTTGCTTTAAGTAACATCTAATTATTAATAAGTGTTGTTTGATTACTGCGGAGGAAGATTTTACCATGTGACTTGCTTATCGATCAGCTCGCCGTAACATACCCATTCAATGTATTAATATTACTATGCATCATATATTCTATTTAGCTAGGCTAAAAAAAAAAGAGTTTTCAATAACGAATTACCACTACTCAATGTAATCCAAATCTTTACAACATTTTGATGAAATACTATCCTAGCAGCAACCCTTTTCTGATTCCAATCGTCTAGCATCCTTTTCGTTATCTCCACCTTCTTACCAAAGCCTACCATTGCAAGGTAAGCATGCTCAGTATTTATAAGATCACGGTGAAGAGATGCCTCCTCTACCAACACCAGGTGAAAAAGCCGTTCTGCAGCAGCAAGCGCATATATGCGGAGTTTTCGGCCTATTTTTTCATTAATATTAATAACCTAAGATGATAATAAACAATTTGGCACATCGAGGTAAAGTTAGTCACCAATTACAGTGAAACCCCAAACGACCAAGTTGTAAGCACCAGTAATGACTAGTTCTGTTTGTGCCATAATCACGGAGCTCCAAACCGTGTCAAGTCACTCTTTGCAATGTGAACATCGTGGCAAACTTTTCCACAGGCAACAACTGGTACACCAGTTGTTTTTGCTACTTCAATTCCTCCATACTTATAGTACTTTTGAAAATGCCATCAGTATCAGGTCGACGTCCACTTGTACTTGTTCCCTTCTCAGCCTGCTCTTCTTCCTGTCATGAGAGTACGGACGTTGCGGAAGCGGCGGCCGTCACTTCTGCGTAAGCTGCTGATACTCAACAATGACATCAAATTTGTATCCAAATCGTGCACGATCACTGGATTGCGGCCTATGTTACGCCGGACAGCAGTTGGTTCATAATACACGTCTATATATGTACTACTTACGAAAGCTTCCTTCCCTCTTTTCTCGAAAATGGTTGCTGTAATAAACAAAGTGGTAATAACTAAAGAGGTTGTTTATGAATAGAATTCTATTTAGTATAGCCATTGCCAACGTCTTGTTGCAACAGAAGAAATTATGCGCAATTTGAGAAGAAACTATAACGCTACTATTTTTTGCCGGGTGAAACTTTGTCAACAGATTCTTTTAAACCGAACGCTTATTTCGTTGCAAACGCAAAATTGTTCGGAAAAGTAGGTCGGGAGGTAAAAATTTCGTTATAATCATGTCAGGTGTTCAATAGTGACATTCTATACCTTGGTTATGCAGCAAAATCCAATCCCTAATTTTGTGACTATATGTGCCTTCGGATGATCGACAAAATTTCGGAAAACACACTTCCCCATCGGATTTTGTGAAATGTTCAGTGACTAGCCACTTATTAATATCCACTGGTCTCCCCTGCTCTTGGATCCAGTTTGTGACAATTTCATCTAAGCATTTTTTAAACGAGTGTTCAGAGTCCATCCATAACCGGGATTTACTGCTAAAGATTTTTACCAGTGGTCAATTCCTCATTAGATGATTTCCACATCCAACAATTCATCATAATTAGCTGGGACACTTGCTTTCTGTTTCAGCGTCATACCAGCCCGCCTTACAGCCAGCGACTCTGCATGCTATGCAGAAAAGGATCAATATGGAAAACGTCTTATTTGCACGTATTAAATTTATCTTACTTTCGCAGATACAGCTTCCAATCGACTCTGACTTCGTGCTGCGTCTGTATATTCACGACACTCTGGTGATTGATGCCAATCTTGCAATTTTTGCCAAACTGCTGGATCGACCTCTGGGCCCGTATTGTGCTATGAGAATAACCAGAAGGATAAACAATCAGTTAGTTGTTGGAAATTGCACACCTCACATATTGTATTCAGACATCACAAGATATCGTATATACAGGACTGCCATTCGCTTTTTGCAAACGCTAATATTCCTGTTACCTCTCCCAATGACCCCCGCCGAGACGGGGTGCCTACGTGATCCGTTGCACAGATGTTGCGGGATGCGGTTTCCTTACGGAACGGCACTCTTCCGATTGTTCTTCACCAACCGAGCTACCATAAGCTTCTACTTGAATGCTCACCTTTTGGACCTTGTGGCAGTTCCGGCAACGTTGCCGGTCTGATTCATATGACAAGCTCCCGCCAACATCATCAAATTCCGTAGATAAACACGTTTGATCTCTTCGACGGTATAGGTGGCATATGGGTCTTCTTCGATCAGTGCTCGCGCAAAGCCAAGGGGGTCATACTCGGTCGCAAAAGTGGTTCGCCAATAGGCTTAGAGAGACGCGTATTAGCAGCGAATTTGCCTGAGAACAGATATGGCCTGAGGAGGTCTCTTCTTGCGGGATCTCTGAGTCGAAGTCCTGTTAGCACTTGTGCAACCGGCTGCCGACATGGAAACCACTGAAGCAGGATTCAGACGTGTGAAAGCGTTAGAGAGCTTAAATAGCAACATCAACCGAATGACAATTCGGGTTTTTAAAACAAAATTCTGATCATAAACAATTAGTATTTTTTGTTATGTAAACAAAAAACGACTTAGATTAGACTATGATATATTGACCAGAAGAATGGATCAAGCCACATATCTGAGACATTTATAGTCTACTACTAAGCAGTCGACAGCATATTTTTTTTTGGCTGACGCCAAACCTTTATATGAGCATCAATTAGATATAGTGTAAATCGAGATTCGTCATTCCAGATTATGGTTCCCATTAGTTATTCGCTCCTGACAGCATTGAAGCCGTTTTTTACGATTACTCTCAGAAATGAACGGTTTTCTCTTCCCAACACGACGGTGAAAACCGGCTTCATAAAGATAGGTTCGGACAGTTCTAAGATTTTGTTCATACGCTGAGCAAAGTTTGTCAGCCGCAATTTGCCTATTTTTTCGAACTTCTTGAGCTAAGTAGCGTATGTTCCGATCGGACATTGACCTCGGTCTTCCACTCCTATAGAACCGTTGTCCTTTGGCCATCCCGAAATGTATTAATTGCACGGGTAACTTGTAATGGTGAAAGTCTTCCGCAATCGATTCACTCTCGCGTCAAAATAGCTCGGCTTCATATACATACCGAGATTTAACTTGCACGCTAACCTCCCGAGTTACCGTGTCGCGTTCGCGAAGATTTACCTCTTTCAGAATCTGTGAGCTCCTATTTAATGCATTTAATTTTTACAATTCAGAAGTTATTCTTTCGATAACAAAAAAAACCCGATGAAGTTTGATAAATACTTGGCTCACTGACGTAACTTAGTCAGTTTAGATAATTATTCCGCAGTAAGACAACTAAAATTCTTCATCTTTCCGATGGTCGACGGCTTCAATACGAATAATAGAACAACTCTTACGACGGATCATTGTGTAATACTCGGATTAAATTGACTATCAAGTTGAGAGCTTTAATCCGTTGTACGATGACCCGTCACCCGTACAGACAAATTGTTAAACCGGTTTTTAATCTATCGCAGGCCAACTTACAAAGAAAGCAATCTAAGACGTTCATTCAAAAAGCTATTTATACACTCTACAATGTCAATAAGACGAGTAATATTATTACTTGCTTCAATCTTCCTCCGGATAATAAGGGGAAATCTGCGGTTTGTCTCGTGTAAATATGTAGTTAATAGTTTAATATTAACAGTACGTTACTCCCTGCCAGTCACAGATTTCAATGACGCGTTTTTAATTGTTTCAAGAAGTACAATTAATTACTCTTGAAAATCAAACGCTTGATGATTTGATCATTCCAGATAAAGTTCAATAACCCATCACAACAACTAAAAAGAAAGGGACCAACGAAACGACCGTAAGAACAACAGCCAATTTTATGGACCATCTGATAAGATCATCATCCAGGTGGTTTTAATGGTAATAGAGATTAACGGAAACGTACAGAAAAATAACTTGGGTTTTATTTTTAATACTGGAAATAAAATCGGCTGTCAATGGTTCTAAATGCATTCCCTACATGCAAACGACGATCGTAATAACCATTTCATATTCGTATAATTTTGACACCTCATCGCTATTTTTTTTACTCAAAAACATGGGTTTTATCTATACGTATAGGAAGTCTTACTGCTGAACGACATTCTCGGTACGGTTATAAAGATAATTTAGCACTTGGGTATTTTCTTACTTCCGATTTAGTTATCTTAATCCCGTGTATACTAATACTTAGGGTTGTAATCGGAATAAAGTGCAACACATGTTCCCGTTTAGGACAATCCTCCTGATAAAAAAAATATTAAAGGATAATATCAAACAAAATCATCCTCAAATATATATATTCATCATCGTATAAATCGAATATGCTGCTGGTTCGTAGAGCTAAAGTCCAACCTCATTTCCTTGGAATCACTCCTGAGCTCGTCCGACGGTGGTAAGTAGAAAATCAAAAGCAATAAACGGACATAGAGCGGAAGTATATTAACCGCACCCTACCGCCTTTACATCTCTCTTTTTGTCGTCATTTACCAATTATCTCTCTTTCTTCCACCTTTACCCGTATTTAAAAAGGGCCCCATCTGGTTTCGGCTTCCTAATAGCGGCAGGTGTGGTCGCTATCCAATTCGCTGAACCAATTCCCAGAGTACGAAAGGATATCTTGAGCAAAATTCCGGTTGCGGGTCGGTACTGGCAAGACGAGGAGGAGGAAGAGACGTCTTAGTACTTTCAATTAAACAAACGCCATATATTGTAAAAATATGGGTTTATACGTATGATGTTAATAAAAGCCTGTTGGTTTTTGATTTGGTCTCTTTGGTCGTAGAGGAGGCCGTTGATGCTAATCTAATGAGCGGGTGTGCGAGGATGAGAAACTAAGATTTGTACGTAAAAGTGACATGAGAGAGAGAGCTGTAAGTGATATGGAACTGTTGGCTACAGGTGTCGTTGTCAAGCGGAATGGAACAATAAATAAAACGTTTTATTTATTTGAAAAAAATTATGCTCATTCGTCATTCATATAACATTACTGTTACTCGAGAAATCGTATCAATATCATTACCAACGTTAATTTAAAACTCCACAATGCTAATAAATAAGGAGCGGTTTTAAAATTATATTCTCATTACTTGATTAAACACACTTCTCCCCTATACATCGTTCTGATAAAGTTAACAAACCCAATATTCTTTCGCATTAATATTTCACACATTAAGTATTCCATTAGGTGTAAGACAATCGCAAATATGTAGTTCTTTTTCCAGCTTCGTTACCCGTCCTCAAACATTCTTGTCTTCAAATCCGGGTACGACACTCTTGCCTCCATAAAAAGTAGGAAGATTCTCTTCGTTTATCAACCTTGACAACGCGGCATGCGTGCCACCCGACGTCGCAACAATAAATTTCTTCTTGGTCTGTTCGGATAAAAAGACCGAAATGAATTTGAAGACAACATCTCCCCACCATGGAACATTTATAAAGTATTTTACGGCCTGTACAGGTGATTGATGGAAATCCAAAGGGAATAAACATTTAGTTGCCAATTCGAATCAAGCTAACGATTGCAGTAATAGTTAAATCGTCCGTACCAGAAATTCTGGATAATTATCCTGCATAAGCGCTGTAACAGCTTTACTAGCTTGCTTGGTATTCTTATCATAGCTGCCAAATCCCACACCCGCATAATCATGAACTTGCACCATCGAATCCGTGTTAACGAAATCAAGTTGCCGGATCCCTTTCTCCATTAATTGCACTCTCCATCTAATAAATCTGTCAAGATCAGAAAATGCTTCTGCGCTGCTCTCTGCTCCGTATAGATTGTAAGTTACGGGACGGTTGAAAGAGTCGACGGAATGAATAAAACCGAGTTTGGAAAACGTTTCGGCAGGAAAGGTTTCAGTGAGAATAGTGTCAGCTTTGAATTCCTTGCGCCACTTTAACATAGAAATTAGCTGTGCCTTGGCATCAGGACAACTCAGATTTCTATGGGTCAATAAAAAAGTTTCGTTATTTTAATTTTACAGTCGGTTTGTTGCTTGTCGTTTATTTATTTCAATCCATTCATTTGTCTCTCGTTAATTACGCAGACTTACTACTACCTCGCTCGTAAAAACTTGATTAGAATGACATCTAATCTCTCATCCTCTGACGTCTTACTCAGCGGGACATCCCAAAGCTTGTAGCCCTCTTCTAATTCAGACGCTGTTAGAATATCATCCAGCTCTGCCTTGAGTGTTGCGACCGCTTCTTTTTCTTCGTCTTTGAACTGCGAGACTATTGGGTTTGCCATTTTTGTCGCAAAAGAGTAGTATAGACGTTGAGCATCAAGTATTATGGCAACCCCCACAAAAAAAAAAGCAAAGTGATCGATGTACTACTCTGTTGCTAATAATCATTCCCGTTATGCATGACAATCTTGGCATAACATGATCGGGTGTTGCCCAATTCAATATTTAGTGTAAGGGCTACACTAGTATTATTATGGGCGGCATGGGGTTTTAGCATGTAAATGCGAGTTGATAAAGGGATTAAAAATGCCTTTGAATACAAACACACACAAATACGCAAACACACAAATAAGCAACGCAAATACACACATGGCGAGACGTAACGGATAATGAAAATTACAATCGCGTCGTATCGTTTACTATATATTCCAATTCGTACTTTGCGTACGCGAGGGGGGACGAAGGGTAAACATTACATATTTTCTATCTATGACATAGCTAATTTAATTAAATCAAAAAAGTTTACAATACCGATACGTGAACGGGTTTTCTATGAGTTTTCTCCTCGGAACTAACCTATCACTATTTTATATAAACGACATACTGACAAACAAACCCAAGAGAGTCAACAAAATTTGCATGCAATTCGTTTCCTGTTTGTTTCGTGTTGCACTGCTTGAAAATAGAGACGAGCCCGGGTGGGTGGGAGTACCAGTTGGAGGAGCCGCAACTACTACAATCGACGTTGATGGTTCGTCGCCGTTGTTATTGTTATTGTTATTTTTCTTTGGTCTCGGAGTGGGGGACGCAGTAGGCGAGTTGACTTTCGTCGATTGAGTAGCATTCGATGGCGCAGCGGTGGCCGTACCATTCACATTCGTAGCTGTCGGGAGAGCGCCACTGCTTAAGGTTCCGTTTACTACGGTTCCGTTACCTGGAGAAGGGGTGGCTGTCGCATTGGCATTTGTAGGAGTGCCGCTGTTCACTGTCGAAGGGGTTGGTGCGGGGGTTGCAATGGCTGGAGAGCCTGCAGAGGTTGGAATCGCATTTGAGTTTGTCGGTAAGGAAACAGGGTTGTCTGGGGAAGGTGAGAGAGTAGGATTGTTTTCGGAAGCGGAGGATGGTGATGATGACGATGATGATGGTACGGATAATGGCAATGATGATGATGTTGTGGGTGTTGTTGTCGTTGGCGGTATATCTACCCTTGTCGCCGGTAAAGAAGGTGGTCTGGACTGGCCAAGTACACGATTCGCTTTTGGTCGATTAATGGGAGAAGCCAAAGATACGGCTACTAGTGCAACGACCATTGATAATAATACGAACGTGTATGATCTCATGTTGAATAGTGTTTTTATAGAATAGACTAGAATAGAGAAACTCGATGAAGCAAGTTTAGTCGCAGGGGAGAATGTAAATTTTCGCGGGATTGTTTCTATGGAACAAAGAGTCTTCTCTATCGATAATGGGAATTGGACCAGCCAAGCGAACAGTCCCGAATGAGTGTGTGCAAATTTTTGATAGTGAATGAGGATCTGGTTAGCCGATAACGCGCAAAGGAGGGGGGGGATGTGCAATATATATATGTACATTCTGAGACCAGACTCTAAAGTAGTTAATTAATTACATCTTGAAAGACATTATACGATTGCGTGGCCACAAAATTTCATACATCATTAGAAGTGCTAATACGGAATGGGTCAAAAAGCTTTAGATGGAAATCTACATGACCATTTTGGACAACAATGTTGAAAATTCGATGGGAAAAGGAAAATATTGGGTTGAGCAAATAGGACATTACATTGACGTTTCGTAATTTTACCCGTTTCGATCATCGATCACAATCGGGTATAAACATCAAGTTTTCAATCTCAACGCAGCGTTTAGTTTTTCGGATATCAATGAACAAACCGGAGATATTAATGTGATGCCTCAATGAGCGGGCTACTAATCGCATGGATTTGATTGATGAGGCGGGCAAAACGAGTAACAGTTAGTAATGAAATTAAAATATGCATTGTTCGCCTACCACATATGAACAACAAAGGTTTAATTTTCAAACTTCGGATGTATCTCCATGTTTAGACGGTCATATGTGATACAACGATGATAATTAATGATTGGTTTCACCGAGACAGAGTAACTCGCGTTGTATATTCGATACACGCGATAAACATCTCGTATCTAACCGACTATAAATCCGTAATGCAATATACACAAAATACGTAAAACTCACATGTCGAGGGAGAGAAAGGGATACGCCCTCATTACAAAAATGTTAATAAAGACGAGCCACTGAACTTCCAATTTCAGAACTTTAATCTAAAAGACGGATCGAATGATTGCGCACGGTGCATGTGTAGTCAAAACTTGTCAGAGTTGGAAAGCAAAACATTCTGAAAAGTCCAAGGGGATGGGCTTCATAACAAAAAAAACAAACGTTTTCGTTGTATGAAATAACTTGTGATTTGAAAGAGGACAAATTATCAGAAACAGACCGAGATAACAAAGGGCCAACATGACAATGTATGGTGATGCAAATAGTTGTTTGCTAGTTTATGGACGTAAATGCACGTTTAATACAAGTGCTAACAGACCGTCCTATGACTTGGAAATGCACTCGCATAAAGAGTTTTACGATTAGTGTTCAAACACGGAATAATTTTGCAAATTGCTGTCAGAGAAATGTTGAATCAGAAGACTAAATTGGAATTTTTCGCAAGTTACTATATCGTATATTCGAAGATGGGTTTATTATTAGTACATACCATACGCTCCGTTGACGAGAAATTCTGTGACACAAACACGTCAATGTCAATTCGACGAAAAGGATTATCAATATAACACAACTTTTCCGGCACAACCTCCCAATTTAGAATTGCGTACAATACGTCAGTTTGATGATGCAAACAACGAGTGAAATAGTGTAACTCTAACAAATTATTTCGCACAGTGTCGTTTACCATTTTGAGATGCAATTCAATTGTAGTGGTGACAACGAAATCGCATTAATAATTAATACCAGCGTCCGTGGGCAAAGGAATCGTTTGTAAAGCCAGGCTCGGTTCACAACATAAGACAACAAAGTATACGTTGTATTTTGTACAATTGCATTTTAACGTATGAGGAAAGTGTGTCATTGTTGCTATGTAAGTGACGTTTAAAAATGTTAAACTATTTCAGTCGCGAGACACTTTGATTTCCAAATGTTGAAAATACTATGAAAAGTGCGCTGTTCTGTGATGTCATTGTGTCAATGTTTCAATGCAATGAGTCAACTGCAAAGTCTATTTTTGCATCCATTGACTGATTAACTTGTTCTCAAACTGCGTGTTTAACAATACATACTGCATATAATCATTGGATGGCGTCTCGCCAAAAAACAATCGCATTCTATGCTGCAAACACTGTTCGAAATACCAGAAAGCAAAGAAATAAAGAACAAACGTAGCAGATTATTATTAACATGTCTCAACGAAATATTTATCTGATAATATATCAGACTTTGTAAGAATAACCATTTTATCACAGTAAATAGGGTTAAGGACAGGTTAATTGATGATAATAAATACTATTGCGTTGAAAAAGCGACAGTTTTTAATAAACTAGTCAACCATACTTTTGAAATTGGGCTGCATACGGAACTAATGCAAATTGTTCTAGTCATTCAACCGAAAGCAAGCAAGCGCTTTAGAGGTCTACCTTAGCTGCGCCAAATAAGGAACAGCTTTAGACTTTAGATAAGAAATGTGTGATAACTGTTACCAGCGATACTTGTGAACACGTTTATTACTCCCACAATGTCGAGTCTGGAGTCAAAACGTAGACTTTTTCATTTCAAGAAACAAGACATCGAGGCACTGAGAGTAGGCTTCGTACTCGCCTGCAAAGCGTGAGGATAAAGCATTCCTGTAGTTGGGATATTCTGTTGACATTTTTTTAGCGTAGCGTTATACTAATAATCGACAATTCTAATATTATGTAATTACAGGCTTTCCTGAAAAATACATTTTCCCCACCATTTGACTGTCAAACTGCTTGAGAGACAAGCCCTCGTCACGTTGAACAGACTCACCAGAACTCCTGACGCTCACAAAATGAGTTGGGTCTTAGTGAATGCAGGCGCCGATACGGACACGACTGAAATTAAGACGGACTCGCTCATGATGGACTCTGCTGCTTCTCGGTCTTTAACAGCTGGGTGAAATCGAACTATCCGAATGCGACCCATCGAGTAACCTGTTAAAATATATTAAGAATCTTTTTTATAATGCTCTTAATGATTTCTCAAAATTAACATGTATCTACGATGCACACTGTCAATTAAAAGATGCCACACGTGACGTCACCCACGAGTTCGTTGTTGTCAAGAAGAAAAACATTCAATGATAGTTGCAGATGTCCCTAATAAGGACGAGCATCTAAGAAATGAACGGGGTTTTTTGGGGAAAGCGCAAATATTCTCACTTGCGGCGTACAGGTTCTGATATGTAGATCAAACTATATTTGCCATTCACGTCATGTCTGCTTACATTTTACAAGACTCAGCCTTATTGACAGGAACTTCATCAAGGCTTACCCGCTGACTATTCGGTTACTATTGAAAGACGGCAATATCTTGGAGACTTGAATGTAAGGAAAGCCAGTGTGAAATGTTAAACAAGGAATAAATAAAAAACATGCGGAAAGCATTCTCGTTCTGCGAGTCATTAATAGGCTCGCTATGGTACCACTGCAGAGTATACAGCTTCTTTGTGACATTCTGATTTCTTGCTTAACTTATCTGGTAGAGCAATGAGTTTTATTTTAACATTGCCAGGAGTCGGCTCTACCGTAATTACCACTTGTTTGTTCTTTGATTAACGGATTGCGTAATATAGTTGTGAAGCGTTTCTATAATATATAAAGAACTCGTGTTATCTTCCCAGTCAATACTGTGACTAATAAATGTACAAACAAAATTTAGCAACGATATAAAAAAAGCTTTCCAATTAATTTTGCAAATTACAGGAAAAACTTTGATTATTAGTCATGAAAGTGCCTGCTTTGCTGTAAAAATGCAGAAATTCTACAAAATATTTTGCGCAAAATATTTGTAAAAGAATGTGGCGATATTATATGTATGTATGTACTGTATTTAGATTATGGCTTTAGTTTTTCCGCGGAAAATAACACAACCATAATCTTTAAAATTTACACAGGTGACGGTCTGTGTTTAGCTACTCCATCTTGGCTTTGTCAAATTTCATAGTGTGTTTTTTTAGAGATAAGACGCCCATTCACGAGCGTTTAGCGAGTTAGTCTGTAAACAAATAAGTTTTCGCATTTCTTCACGAACAGTTTATACGTGTTTGTAATGTTTAACGTCGGGTAGATAGACGGTATGAATTTCTTTGTATAATTGTACAGCTTAAATCTTTTTTTTTGCTCGTTTGACCTTTCTTACCGCTTTTATTGATAAAGCAAAGCTGTCATCGTAATAAAAACCCTACGTTTAAGTCCATCTTAAATACTCCTTTTTGACTTGCATATTTAAAACACGATTCAACGTTCTACGTTTTGATTGGATTAAAAAAATCGGACTCGCAGACGTAGTAAGCAGCCGCTATTAGGAAGAACAAACATCTTTCAGTTCTTAGTAGGTTATTGCGGAGATTTTATCACTACTTTGTTTTCAACTTCCTCATACTATGCTTTGGATGCTAATCATATTCTAAACTTTTATAATACTCTAAGCGCTGCGACAAAAGTATCCCCAAAACAATCGAGTAAATTTCTCAGGTTGTAGCTTTCAACCATCCGATTTACACCTAGTGGCAGCGTGCCTTCAGATACATGCATAGTCAACCCCGTTAATTCAAACCCCGTTTAACCGAATGACTAAGTAAAATCTCGCTAAACCGAAGGTAAGCTCTAAAATTTATATTAAATTTACCCCGATAAACCGAATTTACTAATTAAACCCCGATAAACCAAATTTTTTTAGAATTTTCCACCCATGTTCCCCACCCACTTCGGTTTAACGAGGTTCAATATGTACTAGTACATAATATGGTGGTAACCCAGCCTGAACGTGGGGTTTGTCTTTGTTTTGGGCTTTCAGCTGACTGTTTTCTTGGCATCATGTCTGAACAACAAAACTTCCAGCCCACTTTTAAAAGTAACTGTACAGATAAAAGCCGTAGTCTTCAAACCTTCGATTTACACCTAGTGGCAATGTAACTTTGGATATAATAATTATTCGACAGATACTCGGTGAGATACTTACCTATTCCATCTGAAGGAATAGATTCCCCGCGCGGTGAGGGCTCTCTGCACAGCCTTTTCAAAACCAATTCCACTGAATGCAGCGTTTTGTTGTCGCTGAGTTTCGGCCGCTGCCTGCCGTATTTCACCTTTCGGTTTCTCTTTCTCCTGCTTTCTGTTCTTCCGCTTTTGCTTGTGCTTGAGTGGGTTTGTATTCTAGCCATAATGACATAAATAATATTAAGAATTGCTGACACGTTCGTGTCCGTAAGTGCGTAACATGTGGTGGCGACAAAGAGTTTTTATTATAATAATTTGCTTTTACAGAGCGCTGTGTTTGTGCTTTGGATGAGGATTGTTGTAAAGCATACATACACAATGCGCAATGGAGAGAAGCCTTGGGTATATGTAGGTAGACGTGTGTGTTTGCGTGTTAGATAATAATTTACGCTTAAACGCAATTTTGTAAGTATAAATGTTGTTACCTATGCAGTATTATCAGCCAATAGTACAGCATAAACGCGTATCGATATATTGTCGAGCGTAAAACATTATGATATAATATTGTGACTGTTATAACTGTTTCCGTAAACAATGACAATAGTATCAGTGTAACGCGCCAGAGCACACGCATAGAAATTTTTAATTTTACTGGTAAAATTTATAATTAACACAGATGTAACGACCAGCTGCAAGTCATAAAATTTATTAATTGTCACGGGCAGTTAGGGGGTATTACGCCACCAGTAGAATTTCAATAGACTAATATCTGAATAGAGCTTAATGATAGTATTGATAACAGTAATGTAATGTAAGCGTAACCTATGTAAATATGGTAAATAACACTAATAATAATACAGTCAAAGTTGGTTATAACGAATTCTATGGGACCAGAGAAAATATTGTTTATAACCAGAAATTCCTTATAATGAAGGTCATTTTTTATAGCTAAGATTATAACTTTTATAATTGACTTGGAGAAAATCTTCGTTATAAACAGATCTTCATTATAACATAGCCAGCTTTGATTGTATAAACTTTCTAAAACATCTGGATTGTTTAAATATCTTGTGTCACTGTTAAATTATGCCATTTTTTGCGAGGGCAATTTTTTTCGTAACAATTTGCTTATTTTCTGTTTAATATGATTAATTCGTTTCTTTTAGATTCGAGAAGAATGCAACCCAGCTCGTAAATGTCATGAAAAAAAAACGCGCAAGACAAAAAAAAACAAAAAACAAAAAAAGAGGCAAGAGAGAATGGAATAGTGTCATTATTAATGTAAGCATGTTCTGAAGACTTTAATTCGATTTTATGGAGAGATTTGAGTTTACAATAATCATATTGCCTGGATACTTTTGCTTGTGCTCGTCAAATATGCCTTGCTTTATAAAAATATTGTTAAGTAATTTTTTCGGTAACATTTGTAGCGCAAGTATTTAACTACTTCGTGTCTAGAAGTGTAGATAGGTTGTTCAGATTGTCATTGTACGCAAAGTAGTGACGTCACGTAAATAATATTTTCCACGTGTAGCAAAGATTTTAACGGCCTCGTATCCAATTAGAAGTTAACGCTACAACAAAAGGCAACCATAAAACGTCATAGTCATAGAACATCGAACATAGAGAAACCTATTCGAGTTTACCGCATCCCTTTTGGTCCTTCAAGTTTCGAAGGTTCACTCAGAGAACGGATCTCTCTTTTTCAAGGTACATCGGCAGCCTATTCGCATAGTTGCAACTTTGATCTATAGGTATCATGGTCTCGGTATGTCAATCGCTGTTCCAATTAATAATTTTCCGTTGCTCAATCTTGCATAATGCACAAGCAAACTGTGAATCAACGCAATATAACCAGCTTGCAAGCCAAAGATCTTTTACCATCTTCCGCTCCGTTTATATATCTCATATTCTCTGTTTACCGTTCTTCATCTTAGCCATCTCTCCCCTCCTTTCACCGCGCGTTCGGCATGGGGGTACCCAAAAAATACCACTTGCTGTTATTCTTCCTTCGTGCGTCGAGCTTAGTTCCTGCATCATACGCCTGCGCAATGTTTCTATATGGAGTCGATGATTTGTCGACGCATTATGCCAAGGGACTGGCAGTGAAAATTACTTGGATAGATTATCTTATTGCTTGCATGTGGGTGAGTGAGTGAATGAATGTGATTTTACGAAATTTCTAGCCCGATAGAGACTGTCGTATAAACGATTGTAATAATAACGCGCTCGATAAGACTCGTGTTATTATCACAATAAACATTCCTCTTCTAGAATATATTTTTTTCCCTAATTCCACGCCCTTTTTTTTCTCAATTCAGTGCATGCTAGCTGGACTCTGGAGTTATTGGTTAGCTGACTCGCTCATGCGTCGCTGGATATTCTACTACAAAGTAAGCAGTGCAATAATCCGTCTGATTTCACTCCAAGCAATAAACTGGGTCGCTACTTCCTACGTGGCTTCTCATTATGGTCCCGATCAACCAGTTTGGACATGGATCGTAGTCAGTTGCATTCTCGCTGTAGCCAATATTATTCAATGGCTGTTCTTATCCACCGGACATCATCACGAACCCGCAACTAGCCGCTCTACTGTCTGGAAGGATATTATGAAATTTATACTCATACCATTGTCCATTGTTTCGTTCCTGACTATGGTTGCACTTCTTGAACAAGAGGCGACACTAAGATATCCAGCTCGATTTTCTCAAGGAGGTTACAGGCTTTCTACGAATTTGACACTCGACGACTTTCAATCGACGTCTCGAGTAAAAGTACTTATGGTTGTCCTAACATCTTGGACTGAAAGCGGTTTTCATAAACGTCAAATGTTTAGAGAGAGTTCGGCCAAACTCATACCGCCCCATTCGGATCGTATAAGCGTTGCTTATAGATTTATCGTCGGGTCTCCGACATCAGTAAAAAAGCGCAAGGAGTTGGGTGATAAACTCATGACTGAGAATGAACAGTACAAAGACTTGGTTATTGTGCCGGCTGGTGATTCGTACGAAGAACTGAGTCATAAAGTTTACAAGGCATTTGAGTGGACTAACGGTTTTGCGTTTGATTACATAGTGAAGACTGACGATGATATGTTTGTGAGAATGGACGTTGTCACTAGAGAGTTGGATGAGTTGGGACCGATGAGAAAATATTATTGGCGAGGACTTGGGTATTGGTAAGTAGGAAAAGCGGATTGAATAGAAACATAAAAATTTACTACATTTCGACGAATTCTTCTTCGTATTCAAATTTTTCCGTCTTAATGGAATGCCATTATTCACTGTCTATCAAACGCGCTTTTAGGAATATCCCCCCGATTCAAGATTCGTCAAACAAGAATGCCGCATTCGACTACAAACTTCCATTATTCCCGCCATTTACTGCTGGCGCCTTGTATATACTTTCGCGCGACTTAATATCTTTAATTGTAACCGACACCCCGCGTGTTTTCACCAAAAACGAAGATCAAAATCTGGGCATCTGGCTTTTCCCATATAATATTCAACCTATTCATGACAAGCGCATACAACAAGCCGACGTTTGTGAGGACGATATGATTGCAAAACATTTCAGCGACTCGTACGGTATCACGCGGTCAATGAAGGACATGTACGAAAACGTGATAAATAGGAGGAGAATGTGCGAAGGGTTTACACAAACATATTGCGCTTTGTGCTATTCATGTGGTGGACGGGTGAATCATTGGAGGGAATGGGGCTTTGAATGTGATGATACTAAAGGGATCACGTTGCTCAATCAACCAAAGCTGTTTCTTCCAGATGCGGCATATGCTATCAAGTTATTTGATAGAGAGAATATGACTATCGGAAGTAAGGAAGATGAGTGGATAATAGAAGGACTTTTGTCGAAGCATTCATCAATATATTCTGATACTGAACAGTGGTATTTGCTTCATTGGATGCTTTGGGTGACTGATCAATCGACATTCCTAGAGCGTCATTATAAAACAATAGAAATGATATGGGTTCATACACCCAATGCTGTCATCTTCGTAGTCAGCACTACTCTTCCATCGGATTTCTTTTCTCATTATCAAAAGCAAGGTTATCAAATTCACGTTATAAAAATAAGCAAGGACCTGTTGATCGAGCGCCAATGGTATTTAGGATGGAATTCTCGCGATTGGCTTAAATACTGGGACAAATGGCAAAATTCACAATTTTTCGTTTATCATATGGCTGACTTTGTGCGATATGTTTTATTATACAAATACGGGGGAATGTATATGGATATGGATGCCCTCTGGATACACGCTCCGCCCGACAATCAAATGGAATTTATTGGATCCGATTATTCTAGTGTAGACGCTGATAGAGAATGGACACTTGACGAAAAGAATACTTATCTGGCTAATGGTGTAATGAGGCTTCGTAAGGGACGAGCTATGCTTAGAGAAATTACCGAGAAAGCCTTAGATCCTTCCAATTATTCGGTTTATTGTTTTAATTGTGTTGGACCGCGTGCCTTGACTATGTATGTTAGGGATAATAGGAAAATTCTTGAACAGAGCGGTCTGGTCATTCTCCCAAATTATATTTTATACCCAAGAGACTATCTTAAGATACCTACTTTGTTGAAGCAGGATAATAAAGCAGCCGCAGAACTTGGATCTATTGGAAAAAGATCGTGGAGCATACATTTGTTCGGCAAGATGACTAATCACTTGGTTATAGAGAGTGCGAGTGTCGTTGGATTAACTATAAAGAAATTTTCTCTTGATATTCCACATCCACCAGCCCCGGAAACATCAACAAGCAAGCCAGATACTAAGAACACGCGCAAATCATATCCATTTACATTAAGTGGACCGAAAACGTACAAATATACACTTCAAAGGAACAACAATAAATTTGCTGGATCTTTTAATGGTCAATTCAATGGGTTCGATGCCATATTCCTTAGAGGTGGTACGGGTAAATGTAAGAAAGCAACGATAAGCATAAACGCCGCTGTAGGACGAATGTCATTTGGTCATCTTGGCGGGATGTGGAGCAACACTACTATAACCATCGATGGGGCAACAAAGAAGGATGTTAATGCTATATTGAATGGTTTGACGTATCATCCAAATGAATTGTTGAAACCTGGAAAGGATAAAGTTACGGTTGGAATTGAGTTTGATGGTCATTTGGCGTCTATTGAGATTGACGTGTTGGTGCCTCAGATTGATATCGGGATTTAATGAAGGTGTGCACATTCTGGCTTTTGTATATTTATCCATCAAGTATTTATTAGGCATGTGTGTAATTGGACTATATTCGTTGTCAACATCAATAGATTTCATATAGAATTCATAATAATCTCTTATAATATTTATTCTGAAAATCGGTATTGATATAGAATATCTCAATCTCATTCTACTGAGGTTATTGTCTATACTTGTTAGTAAACCTATCTACTACATAATCTGCTGCCGCTCCGGAAGCCATTTCACCTTGAAACACTTTCTCTTCTAGTTCCTCGACCATAGTCCTTATAGCAGTGTCAGATTTCAATCTAAGCATTGATTTACATAATTCATTAGCGCCATGATTATACTGTCTTATTACCGATGAGAGACTCTCCATGAATACCTATCCATAAGCTCGTTTTTTATTTGTGTCCACATCCATAATTTTCTTTGTTCGCCACGTCTCTTTTCAAATTGACCAGATTCCTATTTACATATATACATTAAACGTAATTAATGAAGTAGGGTAGGTAGCTCATGTTGCATATATCACTTACCCTCATCACGTTACAGTATTCCTGTATTATGTCCCAAGTCTCTTTTATTCCAACGTTGCTCTTAGCGGAAACTCGAATGACCTATACATAGTTACATATAATCACGTACTTACATTAGTATCGTTGTCTTTCCGCAAAAAGTACAGAGTAAAACTCAAACATCGCAAAAGAAATTTCATCTACACAATTAATTGCTACTTTGTTAACAGAGATTATTACACCAATTCATTACCCGAGGCTTCCATACTGGCGTATTGGGTTGTAGATATTTCAATGCGCTCGTGTACTCTGTCATTGCCTGTATTGCAGCTCCTTGGAACGCACCATCCGATTTATTAATGATTACCAAATCGGATATTTCAACAATGCCTTTTTTAAGTCCCTTAAATATAGATCAGAGACACATAGTTAGCGAGCGTGTGATTATGCAATCTATACATCTTGTATTAATAAAGCGCACTTGTATTTCATCTCCACCCGCTGGCGGCACCATAAGGACAAACCTTTATTATATCAAAGAAATTAGTATATTATCATATATAATATTCGGTATCTGTTTGTCTCATTATTTCTTCCCACTTACATATCAACCATCTCAGCAACCATGGTCTCTGATTGTCCCACCCCGACCGTCTCAACAAGACACACATCGTAACCAGCAGCTGTAGATTGACAGATCATTTTAGATTGATTCAAATGCCAAGACGTTTAATGTTGTCTACATACCTTCGCATAGAATTATTGCCTCATTCGTATTACGAGCGACCTAATTTGAACGCGCAACTATCAATCGGTTGAGCCATCCATCAACAACGTCTATTAAATAAACACTTACACCGCCTAAACCATACAAGGTGACAATAAATCTATAATGTTATCGAGTAAACTGCTCAAGTTGTTCATTGCTAAATACGTACCAAGCGTCCCACGGCTAGGTGACGGTCTGACATACGCATTCTCTTGATTAGACAGCTGTGGCATTCTGGTCTTGTCGCCCAATATGCTACCTCCTGATCTCGACGACGAAGGATCGACTGCCTATCGCGTAAACATCAACCATCATCATCGCCTTCTCACCATTGTTAAGACGCATCAACTACTCTCGAATCATATTCCCTGCCCCAGCCGTCATTTTTATACGGCTCATATATATAAGACTCTTCTCTTTACTTTACTACACACAACACAACCCATCTTACTACGATCCTTTGTAATTCTCCCTTACAAGGACTGCCACACGATGTCCCTGAGATAATATGTACATCCCGAACGTTTCCAGAAAGGTTGATTTCCCCACTCCTGGCGGACCCGAAAGACCAATTCGAAAGGTGGAACGATGTGATCGGCTACGGGTGGAGACGGCTGCTTTGTTGAGGATCGTTGAGAGGAGTTGTTCAGATTGGAATTTATGATCTCGACGAGTAGATTCAACTGAGAAGCAAAAAATTTTTGAAGAGGTGCAAAGTTAGTAATTATCGTAGTCATAACGATTGTATGCATTGCGTCAATGTTGGCTCCGTCAACTCTGATTTTTATACCAGGCTAGCCGAGAAAACAAATCCTCTTGAACGATAATCAACCTAAAGTAATAGCCTTTGCCAAGCTATGCCTATCTCCATTCTTGATCCCCTCATATAGATTAATGACTTTAGGCAAGACATCACGTGTGGTAATAGAAGTTGCAAGCAATCGCACCGCACTTCCATTGTTTAACAATTCGATCGAATTCCACCGCCTCATTACGCGTCCCCAAGTTGCTTCTCTGACAAACGGTTTCTTGAGCACAAAAGGCTGGCAGACCTAGAGTAATGTATGAATGAATGAAATAGTCTTTGCATTAACGTAGTAGTACTGTTATAATAACAACATCATACATTAATTCCACTACGTGTCAACATGACAAGACTTTTGCTATCGCCTATGGTTTTCAGGTTTGCGCATACTTATTCTGTTACACAATTCGATCACCCCACAATAATGATGAACAATGGAGGCAAAGGAATCTAAAGATTTTTAGAGAGCACAAAAGTCATTTTAAGATTGTAATGGTCCTTGTTTAAGATGGTTCTATAACGCATAGATAACAAATATTTGGTTGGTCGTCGCAGTATCGATTATAACTATTATGGTCTCGATGAATTATCGTTTTGGAAAAGTCCCTTGATGCTTACATTAATTTATTTTATCAATTAATACGCGACAACCTTTACTGATGGAACTATGTCATTTGACCTTTGAAAAGCATACTTCTTTTTATAGGTTACGCGGTGCGCATTTTTACAATACAATTCTACATCATATAATAAATAAGCGGTAAAAAATCGTAATTCGCGCGTTATTGTAAATTCTACATTTACACGTGATTCTGGAAAATAAATTATTGCTTGCTTTATTAAAAGTTAAAGCGCCGATGTTCATTATAAATAAAAATAACGCACGGTTGCCTATACGCGTGATATTTTAATCAAAACTGTTGATGATTAAGGCATTGTTGTACAAACTGGAAAACATTGAGGCAGTATGCTGAACTATTGAATCGCAACAACTCTATGAAAGAACTATTGTACCCTTTATTTAATAAGCCATTGACTATCAAACGCTTCGATCAAATATTGCCTTTATAATTTAATTATAAGTTCATACTTACTGTACATAAAGATGGAAATAAAATATCATCACCCATCAACTTGCGAATCAATTCATAATTGATCTACAGTTCTAGAGCAAATGAAGCCTCATATGTTTTCCCGGTCAGTTTGTTTTTCGCCTGTGCTTTTATTTCCATTTTCCCAAATGTAAGGCTAAAATCTACCGGCCGAGCGAGTCCGAGATCAGTATCAGGTAATTCTACAGTGAAAGCATGTTAGTAAGAAATACTGACAAAAATAAGAACGTTCTGTATTTACACGCAATTTTATCTTCCTTTTCATACTACTACCCAATCATCAACTCACCAATAGAAAGCTGTCCAAACAACTCCATGCCGGGGTCATCACAATACTTCGCTGTATCTCCATAGGTGGTATATATGTCAATCTTCATTTGAGTCTGATTAGGAAATGATGGTACCAATTCATATCCAAATTTAGAGTCGACAGGCACTTCCATGCCACGCATGGCCAGACATTTGAAGACGTTTATACGACCACGAGCAGTGCGACGATGAGGTGGGTCTCCTGATTTCCATTCCGGGGAAACTTCAATACCGTATGTGCGCTTAAGGACACGGGTTGTTACCGTACCCATATCGAGGCCTGTTATAGAATGGTTGAGAATCGCGGGTTACATAAACGACAGCACATAAGACATTCTATTAATTCATGATATCAGCTTCCTTGCCTACAACAGGATAGTTTCTCTTTCTTCACATACCATAGTACACTGCGCCCCTTATGACAGCAGCAATAGGTTCGGCTGGAACCGCAATCGTATTAATTTTACTTGAGAACTCACTCCTAATTCTCTGTAGTAAATACATTGAATCTGAAAATCCTCCGACCAAGAATATTGCTGATGTAGCTCTCGACTTCTCCAGTTGGCCCTTTATCAATTGTAAAATTCTTTCAACAATTGGATCAAAGAAACTTTTAACAGTTTCATAATCCAGCTCAATCATCCACTCTGCTTCCTCCATTCGTTCTTTTTCCTCTCCCTGAACGTATTGCATCAATACTGGACAGATTTCTTCAATATCGAAGTCCTTTGTAGCAAATTTGTCACTGTCTCCATCGAATTCAAACTTGACTCTAGCGCAGAATTGCTGGATCATATACTGCAGAGAGGTATAGTGTTTTTCCTCGAGAATACGCACAGCCGATTTGCCTACTACTGATGCAATATATTTTATAAATTCACGATCAACGTAGGTACTGCCGCAAAAGTCACCAGTACGTTCAGTGATTTCGGACAATTTGTTATCGGCAAGAAGAGTGCGTGTCGTAAGGTCTACCGTGCCTCCACCGCAATCTACCACTAAGAAAGTAGCTGTAGGACGTTTTATAATTAGTGACCATAATGTCTTAGCAAAACATATATGGGTCATAAATGAAATACGTAAATGTGTCAAATACTTACAGCCTGGGTTGAGATTATGCTCTTTCAATACTCTCATGCAATATATGGCAGCCGCCTCGGCTATTAAGAAAGAAAGTTGTTAACATATATAATTAACATATTTAAAAATACTGCTAATTCGATTAAGATTCTTACGTTCACTGGTAAACTCCAAGCCTTCCGAGTTTAAAGTGTTTATTATTCCCGCCTCGAATGCGCATGTACGCATAATATGCCGTGCTTTCTCATCATATTCTGCTGGTACAGTCATGACCTTTATTACGTGAGAGTGATAGTCCAGCTTTGGCCATCTTATTTGTACTGTCTCTTGAATAGACTACGAAGTAACGATATAAAAAACCAATTAACAAAAGAACGAACAATGAACACTCACTAACAATTAAACGTTCACTTCAAAAAGATGATAGCAATCAGAACGTGAAACTTTAACTCATAAAGCTCTCGAATCTGATTTTTGGAAAGCATACAAACGAACATATTTCTTTCTGTACTGTTACGCATAATCTCCAAGACACGAGCATAAGTATAATCATTACCTCATTCAGTTTTCTAAGATAATCTGTAATTGCTTTTCGATAGTCTAGCCCCCTCGGCAATCTCGGTTTTTTATCCTGAGACATGTTGCCAAGATGTAACTTAAACAGCTCTACGGGACGATTCTCACTCTGTGAAAATATTTTCTTCTTTTTGGGACGTTCAGCCAATGCAGGATTTCCCCACTTGCTCACTTTCCATTCATTGTCATATTGGAGAACGGTGTTTGTTTTCAGCTGACCCTTTTGCTCTGGCCTGGAAATTGGGAGTAAGAGACAAGTTATAAGTAGTAGTGATATGTATCATCCACAAGTACAAACATGATATGTTTTTATACAAGTCTAGGCGCTAAACATGATCATACCATGTGTCTTGGGTTTCAATTTGATCCGGATTTGCTTTGTTAGCAAAAGCAAAGCCTATTAAGAGAATATAGACATTAGTCTTGGGAATTGGTACATTAAGTACGTATTTTATACATTATAGCGTTTACCTGAGAAAGTCGTCCCAAAGTCTACAAATTCAAATTGAATGAAGTTAATTATTGCTTTTTTGATTCTGGCATCGTCAAACTAAACGACTCACGTTTAAACCCTTCCTTCTATGCTTTGCTCCCATACACTTACCGATACCGACTACAACACGGAAATCCTTTTTGGCGACATCCGGTAGTGACCAGAAAGACAAATCAGACATGATTATTATAATACTCTACAACTATAGTGGATTAAAAGATACGAACGAAATGTTAAAGTCATGAGCACCGATGTGATATTTATTTACTGCGGCGATAATTAAATTTAACGCCTGCCAGAATTATCATACGAAGATCCCAACTTCAACTTCAGAAATGACTATTTGGTAGCAACCTGACATAAAGAATGCAAACATATAAGGAAAGAAAATAATGAAACGGAGTGCGCTTCCGGAGTTGTATGACAGTCGTTGTAATAATTGTTGCTAGGACAAGCTTATTTGTTCCAATAGTGGTATAACGTTCTTTTGCGGAACAATCGAATATAAATAAATACTTTTCTTCATTTTGAAGCCTATGCCCTTGAAAACCAAGACGCTACCGTAATCAATATTCAGACATTAATCAAATATGGCACGTACTAGTTCTACTGATGGTAGCGATAATGAAATGCAAGTAGACGGCGGTACTCGTACTAAAGAAATGGAGGAACGTAAAGGGGAGCGTATTACGGGTAACGCGGCGGAATTAGCCCTTCTCAACACTGATGACAAACAATTGGAGGCTGGAGACAGCGGGAGAAGCAACGAGGGAAACGAAGATGGTCATTCAGGCATGAAAGCAGCCGAAAGTCATAGTGGGAGTTTGAACGAGGATGCAGACAGGAAGACAGTTGGGGCTGCAGTCGATAATCGAGGCGGGCATGCAGTCGATAATCAAGTCGTACATGCAGTCGACAATCAAGCCGAGAATTTAAACGAGGATTCAGGTGTCAATTCAGACGAGAGTCCGACCAAGAATCCAGACCCCATGAAGGAAAAGAACAAGCGCGATTCTGATATCTTACCTGTTGCCATCGATGAAGAGCAAGGTCACACCGAAAACCCAGATCAGTCGCAACGAGGATTAGCATCAGATTCAGGATTACCTAGCCAGCCCAATAATCATCCACCGAACAGCTTTAACGATGACGGTATTGGACAATCCAATCTACTGGAAGGACTTCCTGATGATCGTGGCGAAAGAATGGTGGATCAGGTACACGGTACCCGTAGGGACAAGCAATTACTCCGTGATTTATTTGCAAAAATCGGGGCACAGTTAGAAATGACTAGGTATCCTGAAAATGGTCCTGACCTGATAGATCGTGTCAATGCCCTTGAAGGCACACTGAATAGCTTCGTTAATGTTCAAGAAGAATATATTAAACGTTTAGAAACCGCGCTGAAGCTTCAGCAAGAAAGATGTGTAGAGTTGAATGAGAAAATGTACAAAGCAGAAAATCAATGCAGAGATCTAGAAACCCAACTCAATGTAACTAAAAAAAGCTTATATGAAATCAGCCAGACACATTCAAATAGAGACACGAGAGACTATCGTGGAGACGGCAAAGAGATCATAGCGGAGCTTCAGCATAAAAGGGAAGAAGTATTGTACTACAAGCATGCAATGGAATCGACGAACGAAAGATTTGCTCAGCAGTTACAAATTAACGAAAAGAACCAGCAAATTATTAATCATTATAGATGTAAATATGATTACGGAGTTGAATCTGACAGTGAAATTATGTCGTTACGTCAGCTGAAGCAAGCATTGGAGAAACAGCTCCGCGAGGCGCGTAATAATAGTAACTATTACAATCACGCATATCAGAACGAAAAAGCAGAACGCAGACAGTCGGAGGACTCGTTTCGTCGTGAATTTCAACAGATGCAACAAAGAGTTAAAGAAGCTGAGGGTAGAGCTTCCGAATTGCAGAGAAAGAATAACCTACTCAAGGAGGAAGCTACCAGTTATCAAGCTGCTCTTGGCGATACTACTAATGTCAGATGGGGCGATAATGATAAGAATTATTCTGTCCAGCTTGGAAAGGACATTCTTAAATTGCAAAATAGTCTAAAAGAGTTTACTCAATTAAAAGGTAGGCATATTGCTATTCAAGAACAAGGGATTGCTGGGCTATTGCAGAAATATGACTGTCGACTAGAGCCTCCAACGAAGTTAATCGTCAGCGCTGCACTACAAAGGTATATTATTGAGAAAGTGTTGAGACATATAAAAAATTATTTCAACAAAAGTATCGAGGATTTGAATGTGAAAAGTAATAAGGATCTTGAATTATACACTAAGGCTGATCTAAACTATTTCTTGGAAGCACTTATCTTGAATTCGACATTGAGTTTGGAGAGTTATATAAAAGAGTTTGCTGAGAAGCGCAAAGGAGAGGATGAATTGACACGTATGACGGGAGTGAAGATATGTCAACAAGTATATGCTGTACTTGGCAATCGCAGTTTCGCGGTCAATGATCATACATTTTTAGTAAACGTAGTTAATTCTGTATTGAATGATCTCGACAAATGTCGTCAGATTAAGGATGAATCAAAAAGGAAAGATATCGAAGATTTAGCTCAGTCTGTCGTTCTTGAGATTATTCGTATATTTTATTTCAGGTTCCGGACTCAAGTCCCGGTTGTCGAGTATAAATTTTACCAGAGTGGAGACAAGTTTGATTCTGCTACAATGGAGTGTGCGCAAGATGATGACGGAGAGGATGACAAGCAAGTTGTTGAGATATGTTCGTTCCCACTAGTCGGGGTGAATATTTCGGATAAGAAGAAGAGGCAGATCTTCAACAAAGCGAAAGTCCAACTGAGGCCAGGTCCTTCTTCCAGTAGGTGGGGAATTTTTTCATAAACGGTTGATTATGTGAGATGTGTTACATGCACGTGATTGTTATTTAATGATTAGTATTAGATGTAATACATTTTTCATGTACATAAATAATACGAATATCTTAAGTTTACCATACTTATTTATAGCAGTCTCGCATTTATTTGTATTATCATACGAGTCGGCTATTGTTTTAACGCCGCTATCGTACGTTACCATCAGAACTTTTTAGGTTGGGGAATCAACCGTAATATGATCACGGGATCTTTTGGTTTAATATTGTCTTCCTATCTTTAGCTTCTTTATTGTCTTCTTATAGCTGCATTAATAATTAGACTTCCAGTCGAGTCCTAATGTAATGAAGCCCAACAATGACAATAACCACTTTCTAAAATACAGTCTGTCTCAAAAAAGAAACGAACAAGTTTTTGGCACGTGTAACAAAATTTCACATAACAGCCGCACAAACATCATAATTCTGAAATTAATAAAAGTGACCATCCAGACATACTAATACTGTGACTTAAACTCGATCGAAAGGCGAATTCCCAAAAAACTGACCGAATTAGAACATCGTTTATACCAACCCTTGTAAATTTTACGGTCTTGAGCTTATAATTATAATAGAGAATTATCTTCCAGTCATTATAATTATTTTCTGATATATTTAATTCTATAAGCATATATTTAGCCAATGAAAACAGTCGAAATTTAGATCACTGTGCCAGTATTATTATATGGGGCAACAAAAGTGAACATCTGGCGTCACTTCGGTATTTTTTAATTACTTCCTTATTTTCAATCACCTTTTTAACCTAAATTTGAGCACTCTGCCGAGAATTCAATTTTTTTAATTGAGATTTTAATCGAGCAATTTCTTCCCTATAAAATTCTATTTCATTATAATTAACCAGTTCTTGAGGAGTTAGTTTTTTTAAACGTTTAATCTCGGCTTCTTGTGCTTAATTCTGTATAATAACTCTCGCTTTTGTCTTTTGCTTCACTCTTCCGACCTTCTTGAAATTTGGCTACTTTCTCTTTTCCAATTTTAATTCTTCTATAAAATAGTTGATAATTCCTTTTCTAGTTCATTAATTCTGTTTCTAGACGAGAACTAAAGGCTTGCGAAAGTAATTCTTCACCAGAAAGTGATTTGGCTTTTAACGACTACAAAGCATTTCTCGCATCATGGAAGAAAGTTATTATCGTAGTCTTTTTTACATTTACCACAAATAAAAACAATGTCAGAATAACCATCAGGTGTATTACGAGCTGTCATTTGATGAGTAGCAGGAGCAATATCGAAATTAAAATTAGTTGGGTCATCAAAATCTAGAAAACAAAAATTGCACTCCTGCTCATCTCCTTTTATTATTTCCAGAACTCTATATTCTAATCCAACGCCAATTATTTGCAACAAAAGTTCTTTTACTCACTGATTTTTTGAGTTTCATAGTCTATCTCCTGTGTTTTTGCTTTGGTAACGCTGGTAATTTTTTGTTTTCCAAGTAGTCTCTTTATTTATTTCCCGATTTTTAGTTGCTCTAATAAATCTATTCGGTCCAAAAGTTTGCATCATACTTTAGTACAACTTCAAGCAATTTGCTTAAAACGCGGAATCAATTTCAACTCAATCATTTGGCGCTCTTGTTACGGTCGGCGTTGAGAGAGCAATAAATTTGCATAGGCGTGTTCTCTACTGCGTTGACAACTTTCCTCCGCAATATTACAAACGGGAATCATCCTTGGTCACGTAGGAGTGTCAATAATTAGTATCAGCCAATGATAGAAACGAAATAATAAAATAATAAAGAGTTTCGTGTTATTAAAGGATAAGGATCGTTTATTTTACCCAAATAGTTCTGTATCGAATATTATTCAACATTCATAACACTAACAACAACATAACATGAGGTTTTTTGACGGTCGGTAAGGGTTGCTTATATACATTTCGGCTGTCCTACAACTATTACCAAAAACGCGTTACTTTTTTCTTCTGCGCCCATTACATTTTCCGTTACCAATTTATTATTAGCTAAAGTTTGTATTTGTTCCGAACTAATTTAGTATCACACATAGGGGTATCCGTATATTGAAAGTTGAATATATGAAACTGATTTACTGTACATTAGATCCACTATGGAGCCTAAAATTGTAGTACTTTGCGTTCTCTTTTAAAACAAAAGCAAAGCGAAAAAATTGCTCGACATCAAAGCATTAGACGAAGACGGAATAAATGAAATTTATCAAGAGAAAAGGCAAGAAAAACCTCCTAAGCGGCCATCGGTGGAACTGTTTCAAGAACCATGAAAGAAAAGAAAATTAGAAAAATAGAGGTTCTATATACAGAATTATTCTATATTTTGACTGCTAAATTTTGCATACCGCGGCACGAATATTTGTAGTTATTATTAATATGTAGACTATCTGCATAGAGGGCAGTTCACAACCTCGGCTGCAGCCCAAATTTTTTGTAATCCGTAGTTTAACACAAATAGAGGATATCTTTAAAAAATAGATCAGCGTCTATTATTTTCAAGAGAATTCTTTAAATGTTACCAAATAAATCTTGGTTTTAGCAACTTTTAAGTCTACATACAATACCTCGTTAGGAATCCCATGAGTTAATCATAAAACTACGTCATCAGCTTTTCGCGTCTTTCTTTACCGCGTAGCAACACCCTCCCACACTCTTCTCTCCCCTTACAAAAAAAGTGCAATTCTTTTCTCTCCTAGTACTAGTGCTAGAAACTCAAAGGTACTATAAAGTTGCCTTATCTTTGGTAGCGCTTCATGGTACCCACAATAAGCTCTTGTGTTATAGCCCCTTATTATCTGATAATTCCCGTCGCGTTATTTACTTTTACAAGCACTAGAACCACTCCAAGTAAAAAACAGAATTAAGCAAGCAAAAGCAATAACTCAAGAAAAATTCAATACTTACATCTTACAAAAGGATAAATAATGAATATGAAATTAGAATACCAAGCTATTGAGTTGAGAAGAGATAAATGACATTGTAATTTTTACTCTTTTTAAAAAGACAAAAGTTTAAATGCTACTTACAAAATATTATCTTACAATACCAGCAATAATGATTATAGTGACATTGCTTGTGTTGAATGCAAAAAGGATCTTGATAATAATGCTCTACCACATTGTAATGATTGTGGTCGAGCTATGAGAAATAGAATAGATTGCTTCTGTGATTTAAGGAAAGATGAGCCACCAGTACCAGTTAAAATTCTAACCATAACAGAATAATGGCTCAGAGTTATGTGGGTAGATTAGAACAAAACAGCAACTAGCCAGTACTATGGAAGAAATCAGTTTTCATTTAAAAGCCTTAGATGTTTCAAAGAATTAACATGATAAACAAAAGCAAAAATTGTTGAATAAAATTCAAGACTTGAAAGTGAGGTTGAATTTTAAGAAAACAGCAGACTCAACTACAACACGTTGCTCAAATTGAAGTTAAAGAAAATAAGGAATGAGCTTGATTAAAATAAAAAGTAAAGAAGTAACTTAAATTTCATAATAATAAGTAATTTTTCTTAATCCAGATATTACTGAAGAGTTTGGGTATCATTTATTTTAAAAACATAAGGCGCAATTTTCTCTCGTTGTTTTTTTTAGAATGCTTCTAATAGTGCTGTAATTCTTGGGTTCCATAGTGGATTGATGTAAATTAGTTTCATATTATAATTTTATATAGAAATAATCCTATATTAATATATATTAATATATTAATCCTGTTATGGTTTATATTTATCACATTCTGGTATGATAAAGTGAACATTAAATTTAACAAGTCCGTAAGTTACAAATAAACACCATTTTTACTTTTTAAAACGTCATTAGTCACAT